TATCAAGACAAATAAAAGTACAATTTGTTTCAAAGATCTTGACACTGTTAGGGTATTGTTTTCTTAATAATCCTTGCTGTTAAGAAAGTTTACCTCATGCCAAAAACATGAAAATGCTATGGTCTTGATAGCAATTCTTCTGTAAACTTCTATAAACACAAAGTTTTTCTCCTCAAGATCAATGTAAAGAACTATTGACAGTGAAGAGAACTTTAATTTTCAAAACTCATCAATAATTGGCTCAGGAACTCCCTCCTCAAGGCGTTAGATTTTTTTTGTTTTTGTTTTTTGTTTTTTCGAGACAGGATTTCTCTGTGTAGTTTTGGTGCCTGTCCTGGATCTCACTCTGTAGATCAGACTAGCCTCAAACTCACAGAGATCTGCCTGGCTCTGCCTCCCAAGTGCTGAGATTAAAGACATGCACGACCACTGCCAGGCAAGGGGTTAGATTATTTTGGGCTTAAATGCAGACTTTTTTCCTTCCAAATTATGTCATCATATACAAGCGATATAATATCTCATAGCCAAATTCCTCCCTTGCAAGGTGGGGATAATTCCAAGCTTAAAAGATGGTTATGCAGTGCATGGCAAAGTACAAGTGTACTATTAAATGTCTGGAATAAAATAAGCACTGCTAAACATGCTCACTAATGTGGTTGCATTTATTATTTGTAATTCATTTATTTGTTAAAAATTTTCAAGTATTGATTAGGTACTCTACTAGTCAGGGTTCTCTAAAGGAACAGAAGTAATTTAATAAACATATACCCATCTACCTGTATCTATCTCTGTTAAATATTTATATCTATCTATATAAATAGTAAAAGGGAATTTATTAGAGTGACTTACCCACTGTGATTCAAACAGTCCTACAACTGTCTGGTGATAGAAAGGCAAAGCATCCAGCAGTTGTTCTATCAGTGAGGCTGGGTGTCTGGACCATCCCAATGTGGTGCTGTAGTCCCGAGGAATTCCTACAGAGACAGTCATCTTCCATTCATGTTGGAATCAAGGAAATCCCTCACAGTAATGCCAACTATTGAGTTTAACTGATTCTAGATGTAATCAGTTAATAACCAGAGTTAGCTATCATTGTAACTTCAATTTTATATTTTCCATATTAATTGCTCATTATCTTATACCAATTTAGGTTAAAGGAACATTATTTTATCTTTTATATACACAGAACAAACAAAGAAAAAATTCAACAACAATAAAAAAGCTAGGCCAACAAGATGGCTCAGTTGGTAAAAGAATTTGTCCCCAAGCTTAACAGACAACTTGAGTGTTATCTCTAGAACCTACATGGAGAGAACAGACTCCCAAAAAGTGTCTTTTGAGCTCTATAAATGTGCCTTGGCACATGTATATGTACACATATACACACAAAGACACAAAAATTGAAATTTAAGATGTCTCTAGCCTTATAACAATATTTTTCATCCACATGCCCCACACATTACTAAATTTAGGAATAAGTCAGTTTATATTATCATGAGTTGCTAATGGATTACTAATTCAATTTTGCTGTTTTTATTTCCTTCTGAGACTAGGCTTCATATACATCCCAAGTAGGCCTTCTTCCCTCAGTCTTTGGAGGGGTAGAACTCCAGTTGTGAGTTACCACATTGTCTTTAACCTTCTTTTACACTAAATGAAGTACATCCTTTTCATTTGGTTGGAAAAGCGTGTGCTTTGAACTCCGCCTGAGTGGTTTTCTCTCCTCGAAGAGCTGATTCCTCAACCCACAGGATTGATTGGATTTTTCCACAGCCTCACTCTGAGTATTACTTTCTTCCATTTTTCCAGATGCCATAACAATTTCTGAGAATCACTGAGTCCTAAATAAGATAATGTTGCCTATTTTAGCACCTCGTGCTGAGTCAATTCTCAATAAATGACAATTACCATTTTCAGTAAAATTACTTAAAATAAGGCATTTTAATTAATGAAAGTAGAATTTCTCTTATACTTAAAATTTTCCATTACAGTCTTATTTAAACTTTCTATAATTTTAAAGTCTTTTTTTCTAAAGAAAGTGCTATCAGTAATACTGAATACTACATAACCTTAGAGGTTTGGGAGAAGATGAGGACTGATTGAAAACCTTCAAGAAAAAAAAATTTAATGGCAATCAGGTGTTAAAAGTTTAATTAGAAAATTCATCCCTTGCACATGGGCTAATGCAGACTGTGGCAAGCTGCTTAATTTTCAATTCTCAGGCTATTTTACATTGTCAACATTCTATTTAGTAATCTTGGGGGAAATAGCATCAAAAGCAGACAAAGAAAAATGTTTCACTTTCCTGCAGCTGACTCCCTGATTGCCTGACGTTTAGTTACATTTGGGCATCTGTCTCAGGAACTCCCATTGTCTGAAACCATATGCAAACTGAAGTGTGCTTTGGGGTATAGACATGAGGACAGAATTGGTACTTGGATTCACCATCCAGCAGCAGTGGGAGAAGCTGGACAAGCCTAGGATACTTCATACAGTTCATTTAATGAACTGTTACTTTATTATTTTGCAAAGCTTCCGGAATGCACGTTTATGATATAAAAAATGCTTTGCATACTGCTTCATCGGAAGAGGACCTCATTTAGATTAACCTGTGACTTCAACAGCAGGTGGTCGAATGAGCCAACTGCTTCAATTACTGCTTTTGCGCATGACTTTCATGTGTTGCTAAGATTATCAGAGGAACCTGATTACATCCCCTTAGACACTATTGTTGGCACGATGATTAAGCTGTTATTTTTTTTTTTTTAAGACTGGGAAACTAAAAGGCTTTTTGGCATGAGGCAAAAGCACTGTGTATAGAGATCAGTAAGATAGTGTGTATCATTGCCCTGTAGCTTATCTCCACATATACAGCTCCCTGGTGGATCCCTATGATAAACATTATTGGAACAATTAGCTGCTGCTGACACAGAATCCAGACACAATAGCCATGGCCAGCAGCACAGAGCCAAAAATTATGGAGCCAAAACCCATAAAAAGCAACACCAAGCTAGTCTCCCCATTCAACTGCTGTCATAAACCCCGCCCGGTGCTGTGTTTGCATAGCTGCCTTCACCGATATGGTACTGTTAGCACAAAGGAAGGAGCTGCAGCTCTTGCCTTTGTCTAGCCGAAATTACAAGTCATTGAATTAGTATGTCATCTTTATTGTGCTGTCATGCAGCGGAGGTGAGGAAGGCTCCCGTAATGGATGGGAGAGTTTGATGGCCTGAGAGACAGGCTCACAGATGGTTGTTGATATAAAGCAGTTTTCCCCCTTTAAAAAAAGAGCAAGAAAGAAAAGGGGGAGAATGGCAAAAATCCTGCTTAAGACGGATTGGTACTGATTTGGGATGTAACGCACAGCTAGCTGTACAAGTCTCATATTTAAGAACTTTGTGAGTCTGGAGTTTAGGACAAAGGCAACCAGCGCAAACCTTACCGAGGAATGCAGTTATTAGACATAAAATACAATGTTTCACATTCATTGGTTGCTGGTAGGATTATTGTGGTTCTTAAAAAATAACCTTTCTAAATAATTGTGAATGATTAGATAATGTGAGAAGAGTCAACTATCTTAAAGTTAGAAATGAGTGTTTCGAATATTGCAAGAAATACCTAATTCTGCACTAGTGTTATTAAATCGGTTTCCTAGAAATTCTACACTGTGACTGAGAGTTTGAAGATTGTAAAAGACATGTTTTTTAATTCAATGATTTACTGTTTTTACTACTTTTTATCTGCAGTTTCATTCATATTTTAACAGATTTTTGGGTCTTTTTGTGTCTGTGTGTCTACTAGAATCAATGAGATGCACAACAGAATATCACTTTAAAGGATAAAAAAATTGTTTCTTTTGTCATAATTATTCAAAAGGCTGATCCAGCCTAAAAGCAAATTATTTTTAATCAGACCGTATTTCCCAGAAAGAACACCCTTCCTGCCAGTATGCTTGCCTTAAGAAGCAAACTATTACACCTAAGAGTTCACAGAACTTTCAGTGTGCTGATGCTTTTTGTTGGTCTTTCCCTTATACACGAGAAAACAGAAAAAAACCCTCAGTGATGTGCTTTCCTATTGTATGAGATAGATGTCTAGGTATACAGAAACTTTTCACAAACTAACGTACATGTGACTATTTTAAAAGACTTCGCTCATGGCTGCAGGTGACTCAGTACTTCCTGCTCCTGCCCAGGGCTAGGGTCAAGAGTTCATTCCCAGGACTAGGGTCTAACGTTTATTCCCAGAACCCACATGGCAGCTCACAACTACCTTAACTCCAGTCCAGGGGGGCCCAATGTTGTTGATAGGCAGTACATTTTATGGTGGACAGACATACATGCAGTCAAAATACTCTTTTAGTTTGTTTGACATACATTTTTTAAAATAGTTAAAAATGCATTTGGTCACATGCGAAACAATTATGAGACATAAATGCAGAGGAACAGAATGGTAGAAATTAGCTCTGTCCATGAATGTCCTCCAGGGTAAAAAGCAAATCCTTGTTTGGTTGCTGTTGTTTTTTGTTCATTTTGTTTTGCAGCTTTCTGGATCTTTCCAAAGCAGTATTTCAGAAAGCTACGTGAAATTAGAAGTGCATGTTTAGTTCAGAATTAACTGTCTATTCAGCGACATTATTATATTTGTTACATGTACATTATCAGATTTTGCTTCCATTTTATGAACATTTCCTATTTATTTGAAGTTGATGATGCTGACTTGCAATTTGTTATGAAAAGCAGCCTGGATAAGAAAGATACTGTTGATGATTTGAGCCCATAGAATGGAAGGGAAACATGGACAGACTTTGAGGTCTCACTATGATAACCTGTTAGCTGAATACTCTTGAACTAGTTTATATGAGCTTGATGTTTTCATTAATAAATACAAGGGAGAATGAGTGGCTCAGATGTATAAATAATGACAGCAAATGACCTGACCATTGCTTGGAGATTAGTTTTCCTGGTTTAAGAATTACAAATTGCAATTCACTTTTCCAGTGTTTCCTGTATCAGCAATTGGGCAGAACCAATAGATTCAGATCCTGGAAGAGGACGTGGGAGTTTGGGCATAGAAGAATAGAAGACAAGGCAGAACATACAGAATGATCTTCTAACCGGGTGTTCTAGTTTGCCTACCAAAAGTGAGTATGAAGGCTTTCCAAAGTCAGTCTGAGTATATGTGGGTCCAGCGAGCAGAATCTGGGCCATGGGGTACAAGGTCCCAGCTCCTAGTAGAAAAAACACATATGCACGAAACCAAGGATGTCATTAGAGTTACCATCACTTAAAAATTAGCATTGCTAATGAGAGCGGTTTCATCCAGAAACTGGTAGAAACAGATGCAGAGACCCACAGTCAAACATTAGGCAGAGCTCAGGGAATCCTGCTGAAGAGAGGCAGGAGGGATTGTAATAGCTGGAAGGTTAAGGACATCACAAGAAAACCCACAGAATCAACAACTAACCTGGGTTCATAAGAGCTCACAGAGACTGAACTGACAACCAAGGAGCCTGTGTTAGACTGACCTAAGCCCTCTGCATATATGTTACAGTTGTGTAGCTTGATCTTCTTGCGGGACTCCTAACAGCGGGAGAAGGTGCTGTCTCTGACTCTTTTGCTGGCTTTTGGGACCCTATTCCTCATATTGGGTTTCCTTGCCCAGCCTTAATACAAGGAAGGCAAGGTGCTTAATCTTACTGCAACTTGATATGCCTTGTTTTGTTGATATCCATGGGAGGCTTGCCCTTTTCTGAAGAGAAACAGAGGAGGAGTGGGTAGGGATTGGGGTGGGAGGAGTCCGAGGGAATGTGGGGGAGAGGGACTGGAAAGAGAAGAGGGAGGGAAAACTGAGGTCTGGATATAAAATAAATAAATAATTAGCATCTCTGAGTCTGTTATGGAGACAATGGCAATTTACTCTGTACAAAAAACAATGACTGTTATACATAATGTTGAGCTGAATTAACATAAATATGCACATCACCAAGATAGATTTATCTCTGAGTTGGTGTTGGGATAAGATGGTTTCCATAGAGAATTCCTGAGAAACCTGGGAGCAAGGAGCTAGGGTGGATGGAGAAGGTCCAAGAATGCTGAGATAGATCACTACTTTTGCACAGTAAAAAGACAAAATTACTCAATGTTTATAGGTGCCAAAGCATTTTGTTACATACCTTTCTTTCTTTCTCTTTTGATTTCATCCTTCTCATAAAATCTTAATTAATTTCCTGGATGAGGACTAAAATAAAGCCAGGAACAAGAAAATTTGTGTGTTCATTTTAGTCAAAGGGGATGTTATTTAAATGTCAAAAAATAGGCATATCTGTATTCTGTTGTTCTAGAGTTGTCTTGAGTAGTGTTTTAATGGTTAGGTCACAGGTTATATGTGATATAAACTGATTTCAGCTTAGTCATCTTTTCTTTTTTTTTCTTGCAGCCTGAAACACGATCTTTCCCATAAATGCTGGGGGCTCCACTGCCTTTGCCTCTCGGCATCATCCCCTTTCTTTGGGCTTTGCTTGTTACTTACTAGGTGACTGAGAACTAGACAATGATTTGAAAAGACCTCAGAATCAAAACTTTGTCAAAATTAACTGGATTTGATATAGCAATCATTATAATAAGCAATACTAAATAAGTAAGTTATTTTTATTCACTAGTTGTATAAACTGTAAGTGAACGCATCCTAGACCATTGCAAAAATGAATGTAGGTTTTCTCTACATCTCTCTCTTCTCTTTTTCATTTTGTGATTTCTCTGTTTTTAATGCTATCGCCTCCTATGGAACATTTTTATGCTAATACTTGCAAATGTATTTCAAGTCTCAGTTTTGTCACTGAGTTTAATAAAAGTTATGTAACATTAATATTTCCCTAAGTCAGTCACTGACATCTTTCTCAGTCCTTCCTTGTATATTATGAGACTCTAATTATCCTAAACTTCAATATTCAGTTGTAGAGAGGGAACCAAAACTTAACCTGTAACTGGAGGATTGCCCAGCATAGTCACTTTGTAGAATGTCTTCAAGATTTTATGATAATGCCTCATTCTAAGTATGTCCATCTTCCATCTCCCTTAGACTAACAACCATCTTTAGTCTCTTTTTGCTTCTTGTTCTTGGACATTTTCTAATCAGTACAATCTAGTTCCATGCCATGAATATCCCCCTACACATACACCCCTACTCATACACCCCCTACACATATACCCCCTACACATACACTACCTACAATACACCCCTACACATAAACCCCTACACATGCACCCCTACAATACATACCTACAATACACCACTACACATACACTCCCTACACATACACCCCCTACACATATACCCCTGCACATACACCCTACATACACCCCTACAATACACCCCTGCACATACACCTCCTGCACATACACCCCCTGCACATATACCCCTACACATACACCCCCTGCACATACACCCCTACACATACACCCCCTGCACATACAACCCTACACATACACCCCCTGCACATACAACCCTACACATACACCCCCTGCACATACAACCCTACACATATACCCCCTGCACATACAACCCTACACATACACCCCCTGCACATACAACCCTACAATACACCCCTATACATACACCCCTACAAATACACCCCTACACATATACCCCTACACATACACCCCCTACACATACACCCCTACACATACACCCCCTACAAATACACCCCTACAATACACCCCTACACATACACCCCTACAACACACCCCTATACATACACCCCTGCACATACACCCCTACACATACACCCCCTACACATATACCCCTGCAATACACCCCTGCACATACACTCCTATGCATACACCCCTGCACATACACCCCTGCACATACACCCCTATACATACACCCCCTACACATACACCCCTGCACATACACCCCCTACAATACACCCCTACACATACACCCCTGCACATACATCCCTATAATACACACCTACACATACACCCCTACACATACATCCCTACAATACACCCCTACAATACACCCCTACACATACACCCCTACACATACACCCCTACACATACACCCCCTACACATACACCACTACAATGCACCCCTACACATACACCCCTATAATACACCCCAACACATACACCCCTACAATACACCCCTATACATACAACCCTACACATACACCCCCTACACATACACCTCTACAATACACCCCTACACATACACCCCGACAATACACCCCGACACATACACCCCGACAATACACCCGACACATACACCCCTACACATACACTCCCTACAATACACCGCCCACACATACACCCCTACACATACACACACATGCTGTGTTTTCTCTCACAGAATTAATCTGCTAGGGCAAGCCACCTACCATTTGATATCTATCTGCACTGAAAACAGCCTCTGAAGAACCCTCCCTTCTTTAATTTCCCCTTTCCTTGGCTTCTCCTTGGTCCCTCTCAGAACGTTAGAGGCTTCTTGCCTTTCACAAGTTTCAAATATCTTCCCTGGCTTGATACTCAAAAACATTTGTATCTTGGTAATTTTCTTTTTAATCATTTGCATAACACTTGTACAAAGAGAGACTCTAGTTTAACAGGCCCATTCACGTTTTAAATATTTTATAGATAATTACCTAATTACGATATTTCTCTTTTCCATTTCTTTTGTTTAAACTCTCCCATATACTCCTCCTCACTCTCCTCCAAATTAATGGCTTGTATATTTATATGTATATACATATATATTCCTAAATATGACCTGTTCAGTTTCTAAAATTATACCAGTATGTATGTTTTCAGGGCTGATTTTTTTTGGCATAGGAAAAAACAGCCAGTGCGCTTCTCTGGGGAAGGCCACCTCTCCTGCTTCTGGCTTTCTGTAGTGGCCTGTAGTTCTTTCTTTAGGACTGAAGCCTCACAGGCTTTGCTCCAAAAGGTTAGGCTTGTCCACTGGTGTCATTCTTGTTTAGCTCACGTATGGTTACCCCCTAAAGGTAGAAGGTAAATCCCTATTGCAGAAGACACCATGCCTGTCAGACACAGGGTTCAGAGAACTCTGAGCAGGAACTGACCTGAATGACCTCTCCCTGAGAATTATCTTTTTGGTATCAGAAGGCACCATACAAGCTTCCAAAGAAGGGAGGTAACCAAGAGTTCTATTCAGCTTTGATGCCTATTAAACAGATCAGCAACCATTATGGCACCATAACCCTAAGGTTGCAGTGGGGGCTCATGGTAACCAATAGCTCTCTAATAGTACTTAACAACCTGCTCAACAGGAGGGATACCATGCCTGTTGCTGGAAACCTAGCAAATTACCCAGTGTTAGTGAAACCATGGTTATTGGAGGGGAATCTACAATAACTGATTTATTATGTTACGTTGCTAGGCTGCGAGGTTTGAATGAAAATGGCCCCCATAGGCTCCTAGGAGTGGCCCTATTTGACTGTGGCCTTGTAGGAGTAGGTCAGGCCTTGTTGGAGGAGGTGTCATGGGTAGTAGGTTTGGGGTTTCAGTAGCTTAAGCCAGGCCCAGTCTCTTTTCATGCTGCCTGCTGATACGATGTAAAACTCTTTGCTCCTTCTCCAGCACCATGTCTGCCTGTGTGCCACCACACTTCCTGCCATGACAGTAATAGACTAAACCTCTGAACCTATAAGCGAGCCCCATTTAAATGTTTTTCTTTATAAGAGTTTCCATGCTCATGATGTCTCTTCACAGCAATAGAAACCCTAGCTAAGACACAGACTAGCTTAGCATAATCCCTAACAATGACATATAATTGTACATCCCTACCTGTACAAGTAAGTGTAGTTTTTGCTGCCCAGCCACTTCTCAGAAGTTGGTGCACACCCAGATATGCACTGCAGATGTAATTTCTTCCCCTAGTTCTCATATTGTCATTTGTTCTCTCTGTAACTTTTACTTGCCAGCACTTTTTGTTCAAAAGTCTTTACCATGTTATAGACCCCTAAAGATTATCTTCTCCCCTTTCTCCAGAAACTCTGTCCCTGTTCAAACTTAAGCTCTTGGTGAGCCAGATATGATTCAGTTATCATTACATTATCAAAATACATCACTGTAATTTCTCAGCAATACTCAATAACTATTATTTTAATGCAGAGAATTATTAAACCTCAATGCTTGCCTTAGAACATGCTTCTTGAAATTCCGTGGTCAGCTTATTTAGTAGAATTAAAAGGCTTCAGACAGCTGAATGAAATGATGTTGTAAATTCTCAAAACTATGAAACCACTGATTTTTTTAATGATTTTGAACTGTTTGTTGAGACTTGCATTCTGAATGCTGTCCTTTAGTTTCATATTTTGTAACCTCAGATAGTTGTGTCTATGAAGGAATTATACAGTGTTAGAGAGATGGATTTCAAAATTAGCAGGTGAGTTTCCAGTAGACATATGCTCAGCTATAATCCATGAATATAGAGGCAGCTTCACATTTTACATTGAAAGCAATTGGCAAAATAGTTAATGGAATTGACACCAAGAAAAAGTAAGTTGTTTAACTGAGGGCAAATGAAACAAAAGACTAAATCTCTATCAGGAAGTGCAATTCAAATATAGCGTTGTTTAAAACGTTGTACTCCAACCTCATGGACTTGCTGAAGACGAGGGAGGGGCAAAAGAACAGAAAATACTTGAGGTTGAATTTACCCCCTGACTTCACACTCAGATAAACTTGCAAATGCAATTGGTTTATTTTGTATAAATAAGCAAGAATGCTGGAAGAAGCTAAATATCTTCATAAAACAAAACATTATGATACCAGAAACCCTTAGGAATAGCACTAATGCTTTTAAATGAAGGTTTTATTTGTCTCTGAGCTGCAAAAAGGAGTCACTAATGAGATGTCATTTAAATTCTAACACCTGTTTAATGGCAGTTTTTCTCTATCCCCAAAGAGTAGCTGTTTATGAATGTTTGCAGCTTTCCAAGTGTATCTACAAGAATTGTTTTTCATAAACAATGTGTGCTTCTTGCTCACATGCTCCAGCTGCATTACAGCACATGATGAAAATGGTTGGCTGTGGCAATTTTTTTGTTAGATGTGTTTCAAATACTGAAAGTTAAAAGTTAAGATTTTATAATCTTATAGCAAATATTCATTAGAAACTTCATGTTTTACAGATATGTTAGTGTACAGTGGTATAAGACGAATATGATTTCTAGTTGTATTCTTACTGAAATGAGATGGAAAGTACTATGATGGAAAATGTGCCCACACATTTCCTGCTCCAAGAACACAGTGTTATTCATAAATGAGCACACATGCAAAAGAAATGTTTCTTGAGGTCTTTTTTTTCCATCCAACAAGTCAATAACTAGAATGTCAGAATGAGACTATATAATCCTTTTCTACTACTTTTATGATTTTTCTCATATAAACAATTTCCTTGTTAAGGAAATTACAAAAAAAGGAGCCCACAATAACTGTTGAAATGTTCCTGTATGGTTTCTCTCAAAATTAATCAGAAGGAATAACAAATATTCTATGGCCAAATACATAAAAAAAAATCTACTAGTGAAAATATTTTCCTTCAATGTCTATCTCTTTTGTGGTCTCACTTTTGAACAAACCATTCTCATGGCTATTGGCCACTAATGAAACCTCTTGTAATTCAGCACAAGTAATACATAAATGCACTCTAACGATTCACTTCTATCTAGAGAAATTCAAGTGTAAATTTCTTGAAGTCGGAATTTTATGAAAATGAGAATATGAAATCTCAAAGGTGATTCCTTCTAGGAAGGCTGTGAGACCCTTGTTTTAAGAATGTGCATCTTGTACCTGATAGGACCATAGTTGTTCCCTTCACATGCTGGATATGAGACAAAGCAATTCTTGTTTGTGAGTAAGCTGTCTTGTCCTGGGGAAAGGTGAGACCGGGGTCCCATGGAGGAAATCTTCAGAGCTCTGGATTTAAGCTGAGTTCACTAAGCTTACTGAAAAGAGAAAAACTAAGTCATGACATGCTCCACGTGTGGACCCAGACAGCTCTATAAAACCTAAGTGTTCTGCACATTAAAGGAAGAAGGAACAAAATTATCTCAGATGTGATTGTATTATGCTGAAAACTAGTCTACGTTTCTTCCTCGCAGTCATTATTTTTCCGATTCTTAGTGCCAAATCAGCTCCTCTTCCCTCTGAAGATCCTGTCCTCTTTGAGATTCTAGTCATTGAAAGTATTCTTTTCAATGAGCAGAACAATGCGATCTTTCTTTTTTTTGGTGTTTAAAAATTCTCTCTACCTTCCCTCTCTTCCTCTCTCTCTGCCTCCATATAATCATACAAATATACATAAACATGTGCTGGAGAACCGGAAAACATCATGAGTTCTGGGTTTATACAATTTTTATTTATAGGTGGAATCTCACTGTTTAATCTGTGTTCTAATTACTCACAGGATTTATTCACAATTGCTTGACACACACTTCATGCTGAGCCCAGGGAAATAAGCATATTCTTTTTTTTCCTGTTGCAGCTCTTTCCTTGACTTATGAAAGCCAAATATCCATTCTGTATGGAGAGATGAATCAGCAATCCATATAATATCTATTCATCATACATATTTCACAAGGAGGATATTGTGGTGACTGCAAAGTTCTTACAAAAAATAATATGGAAATCCGGAACTTGATGTGGAGTGTCAGAGAGCCTCTTACTATTATTTACCTTATCAGCTTTTGCTTTCTGAAATCAATGGAAGGGCATCAAGTTCAGCTAATCCATATTTCTGAGTATGAAATTGAATTTATAGTCTGTAGTATGTTGACTACCGCTCGCATTTAAGGCATAATTGATTTTTATTGAAAAGCCAGCAGGCACATCAAAAATTTCCACAAACCACAAGGATGTTAAATTTTACCCTGTTTAGATAATAGTGTGGCTTTATTTATCCTTTAAAATGAAGCTTTTATATTTATATCAGCAAATGCCATGGAAGTGTGACTGATACCTTGTGAAACCATAAATCCATGGTTCTGTAAAACTGTGCTGCACAGAAATAGCAACTTTATATTTCAAAGGTAAACGTCTGTGGTTGGTTTGTTTTAAGGATAAATGGATAAATGGAATAATAAATCTCGCACCATATCATGTCACATGGCAACATTCTTTCCCCTGAAACAACAGCTTGCACCAGTTTATCTTTTTTCTCTTTCTCTCACATTCTTTCTGAGTTTCATTTTATCTTCTGCTTTACACATTATGTAGTTTGTTTGTAGAGTCTTTATGCATATGAAATGTTATTCTTACAAAAGTATATTCTTTTTTTTAATCAGTCATCAATCCTAGCATGTGATACTTTGTTAAGTTCCGTTAATATGCCCCCAGCCCGTATGATAAGCCCGTGTGCCCCACCTCTGTATATTTAAATTTTAGAATGAAAATGTTAGTGAATACCTTTGTCATAGAATTCATGAGCCTAACATCAAGAGTTGTATGGATTTAAGCATTGAGCTTTGTCTCTGATGGGTGGATATGACATCATAAATGTCATAGGTTAGGTTTTCTTTCAGCCCTCCAAAATTACAGCAGTATTTACATGGAGGAATCAGGATACATTGTATAGAGTTTGGGAAATGTATGGGATTTATTAGGCCTTTGTAGGAAATAGACTGTATCCAGGGCTGCATTGACTTGTGCTGGCCAAGGGAGGGTAGACATTCGTGGCCTGAAGAAAGGTCAACTCATTCAGAGATCAATTGTCCTGTGCTTATTGGGCTTTTAAGCATCTTATGAGGCAGACATGCATGTAGTTGAAATACCTACTTACCATTATCTATACTTATACCCCATTTCCATTTTAGACTTCAGATATTTTAAATTTTTATTTTACTTTGTTTTTAATTATGTGCTATGTTTGTGTATATAGGTCTGTGCATGTTTGAATGTAGGTGCCCACAGATTCCAGAAGAGGGGGTGGGAAACTCTGGAGGTGGTGTTACAAGTAGTTGGGAGCAGTCCATTGTGCATGCTGGGAACCAAATTTAGGTCCTCTACAACAGTATATGCTTTTAACTGCTGAGTCCTCTTTCCAACCTTATAATTACAAGCCTTTAATATGGTCTAATATGTCCTAACTTTTCTAGGAATCAAACTTACATGCAAATTGAGAGAAAATTATTTTGAATTTCATTCATTATTGGTCACCAATGGCAGCTGTTTATAGTATTGTTGCATCAAAAAAATTACTTTACTTCAGCTTAATTGGTAGCTGATGCTTCTAACAAACTTAGAATGGTTCTTGCATATATACCAGTGGTAGACTTCATGTCTCCCTTATACAGGAGGTTTTAAATGTTCACATTTCAAAATATATACTGTTTTGCTATAATGTACTTTCTTTTTTATTACCTCTGTTTTATAGTTGGGACATAGGCATGGTATTGGGGTTTTTTTTTAGTGATAGCCTCAACATAGCTGTAGTATCTATGAACTTCATTTCACAATAGTAAATGAACTGTAAAATACTTGCAAAAAGGTACGTACCAGATCTGTTGAGGTTGAAAGCAACCACCTTTTGGTATCAAGGAACACATGCATTAGTTAGAAACTTTCAATGGTAAATCTTGAGATTATTTTGATACAACAATAATTTCCAATGAGGAAAATAGTGTCTCTGAGGGCTTTAAATATGTACCAATAAGCATTTAGTGCCTATATTGTTCTGTGTATGTATGAAGAGTGCTCAAAACAATTTGTCATATTCACAGAAATGAAATGATGAAACCTAAAGAGATTATACATTAATCTCTCAGGAGTAAACCTGGCAGGGAAAAGCAGTATAACTTCCACAAAAGCAGGTACTATCAAAGCAATGTTTGACAGGCTCAGGGACAAATCTTGTTAATAAGTAAGAGGATTTGTGCTTGGCTCTGTCACATGCCACTTTGAAAACCTACCTACAAACTGTCTACAAACTTCATGCCCATCTTTCCCTCTGTGCTTTTCCATGGTGTTTTACCCCACCATTTCTCTCTACTTTAGTTGGTGGTATTATTTACTAGCTTTTATGAGGATACCATGTGTATGATGACTGTGTGGTAGATTTATAGTTAACACAATATCTGCTGTATCATTTCATTTTTATTTAATGTTTTGTAGGACATTTTTATATCTTTTGAAAGTATTAAATATACAATATGCCTTATTCATGTGAAGAGAAAGTAAAGTTTATTTTTATTGCTAATTTTAAAAGTTTTATTTTAAAAACTAGTATTAAAATATAAATAGTAAACTATATATGAAGAAAATGTGTTGCTCTTTAATTTTAGATATGAATTTTTAACTAAATCAAGATACTTATAAGAATTCAAGAGTTTTCTAAGGTGCTTTCAAACGAGTTTTAATTCTAAAAACTGGGTCACTTCTAGTGTGGGACTTGATCTGGGTGTCTCATGACCTTTGCATTTGCTGTTGCTAGAGAGGGCAGTTTCTGTAGAACATCTTCCAGTCTATAGATTGCTGTGATGCAGTGCTCTTTTAAGAGGAACTGGTCCTCTTAACACACATGTCCGAGGACAAAAAGACTAATTGGCAGACGAATTGTGTCACTCATGAACATTAAAGATGTTAGAACTATATGGGAAATGCTTTCTGGAGGACCAGCAGGACTCATGTGACAGCCTTCTCTTTGTTCAACTTTAAGCACAGAACAAGGTTGTCCTTCCACAGTACTCAACAGCTGGATGAAAAGGCAAAACAAAGCTGATGTGCCAGATGGTTTATCTGTATCCTATCTAACATCTGGGTATTTTTTAAACATTTAGATGATTGGCTGAGTTTTCATTTTACATCTGGATACTTGTTGGCACTTCTTTGATCACACATGCTGTGCTTATGCATGTGTGCATTGAAGAAAAAAAGTCACCAGTAACTCAGACAAAACTTGCCAGAAAAAAAAAAAAAAAGAGCAGCGAGCTTTGTGTGCAATCACATTTCTCTGAAGTTCCAAATCTGAAATCAAGACTTGAATGCTGAAGTTCAAATTTGAACATTTCTGAAAGACAGTGACAGAGTATGAAAGACATGACAGCATCTTATGGTTTCAACTCAAATATCAGTAGACACCAGACATGACTCTCTAGAAGGGAATCAGAGGCTACCTGGATAGAATCAGTTTATTACCTGGGCATCTTACCTATGTTGACAAAGAAAAAAAATGCAAGATAATATGTTTACAAGTATTCTTTCTTAGAAAAGAATTTAAGTGGACATGTGACTTTGAGCCCTCACATAAAATGGCAGGTGTGGTGATATACTGTGTGCCCTAATAAAATTTGCTTGAAGATCAGAGAACAGAACAAGCCACTGGATTCAACATAGATGCCAGGCAGTGGTGGCACACATCTTTAATCCTAGCACTCCAGAGGCAGAGATCTGTCTGGATCTGTGAGTTCAAAGTCACTACATGAGATTGATTCCATCCAGGAGAGAAAACAGAGCCAGGCAGTGGTGGCACAGACCTTTAATCCCAGCACTTGAGATCTCATGCCTTTGCTTGGTAAGTATACACGCCTTTAATCCCAGAAGGTAATGGCTGGGCAGAGAAAGGTATTTAAGGCATGAGGAGACAGGAACTAAAGGCTTTTAGGCAGAAGCCTCCCTTTCAGCTAGAGGCTTTTTTGGCTGGAGCCTTTCAAGGGGGGATAAAAGATTTCAGTCAGAGGATTCCTGGAATTGGTGAGGTGAGACATGGCAATGACTTCTTCCTTTGTCTCTCTGATCTTCAGGCAAATTTTATTAAGGTCCACAATATATCACCTCAGCCACAGGTCTTTTTGGAATGGTTATCAGAGAATGCCAAGCAAGCAGGTACACAATTGTGGTTCCCATTTAACCAGGTACAAAGATTTACATTTATTGTGGCTTTTGAACTTTTAAGGCACTTTGCAGTCATGATCCCATTTTGTGTAGAACCCTTCCAAAATCCAGGGCTTCTCAGTGTTGATTTAGACAATTCCCATTTTGGGTGAGTAGAGAAGAAAGTGAGAAAGGGACTTCTGTGGGGCAAACCTACTAGGGTTTTGTATTGTAATAGGTGATTTCATGTTCAATATGTATTTTCTTAAATTCTCGGAAGTTAGCTGTAGTGAGTTGGGCTTTAACTGTTGCTTCAGCTGAATTGTAGTCATATGTTTATCTTTAGTCAATTCATTTGACTAATTCCAGAGCTGATATTCCTTACACACAAATAAAATGGGACTATCTACCCCATAGTCTTATTATAAAAACTGAGATTTTTACATGCTAATACCAACAAACTGCCTAATATTTAGCATAATGGTGATGCCTCGTGCTCAGTGTGAATGCTCTTTGACATTTTACAAGTGAAAAAGTGGAGGCCCAGAGAGTTGACAGCGATCATAGAAGTAGGATGCCCCTGAAGAAAAGAGTGGAGTCACATTCATATCAGTCTCAAATGACACTCTGCTCATCATTCTGATAGTAATTATTTATGAGAACAATTGCGATTAATCCAAAAATAGCACATCTTTAGTTACATCGTAATTTCACATATCATCACTTCTCATTATCAAACTATGGGTACAACATAATAGAGCAGTGCGAAGCAGTAGCAAAACTGATGCTACCTTGTGTTCCCATGAGCACAAGAGTGAGAAGTCCTGGACCCAAATCTCCACCTCCTTTGTTGCTCAAAGGTGACGGGTCTAGTCTTCACTCTGACACTAATGGCTGTACGTGGTTGATGTGGTTTAACTAGAACTATTTTCTTTATTCAAAACATTCTGGAAAGGAGCAAACACAAACCCTATCCATCAGGAATTTTCTGTCCCACAGAGACTCTCAGACAAGTTCTTGAATGCATGATAAATTATTATAAGCTAGAGTAAAATTAAGTTGCATTTGGAGGACATGACAAAACATAGAATTACAGCAAGAGGCATCCTAGAAACCCTTACAAAGAAAGTACCATTGAGAGGCCTCAGGCATGGGCAGGTGTTGGTACCCACCTCAGCAGATTCCGAAGGTAGGAGGGCAGAGCATGACTTTAAAAAGCAGCTCTACATTTGAGAGCACATGGGCATCACATGTTTAAAAAGTATCGTGATAGAAGATACTAAAATCATGTATCTAATTCACCCCAATTGTAAAAATCTTTATGAAGACAGTGAAATTTAGCTGATAGCCATGAGATTGTTTTGAATTACTCAACCATGAGTTAAAATGATGATTTAAAAGTAACTTCCATGGGGAAGCCTATTTTCTCCAGCTTTCAACATTCTTTAGTGGCCTGTAGTTTTTAGTTTAGGGTTGTAGCCCATGAGACTTCCCCCTTCCATGTTAGCATGTTGATTTTTATCATCCTTGTTCATTTCATGTTTAGGTCACCCTCTTGTTAAGACTTTATGGGTGTAGTGTTCCTGTTATTTCTAAGAGAAGCAGTCTCACAGTAGACATCTGCTTTTCCAACTCTTAAAATCTTTCCACTGTCTGTTTCCTGAGGGAATGTATATTGTCCCTAAAGCCATACACATGCAAATAACATTATATGGACCAAACACACACACACACACACACACACACACACACACACACACACACACACACACACACACAAGAATATATATATATATATATATATATAGTAAATTTGTGTAATTTGTACAAAATTGTAACATATGTATGTTGCCTCTCTTTAATTGCCTCTCTTTAATTACCTTAATAGCCATCTATTGTTCAAATGTGTGTGTGTGTGTGTGTGTGTATTCTAATATCCATGTGACTCTCACAGGAAACTTTTGGAGATGGATTAACAAATATCATCAGATTGCATCTGAACCTTGTAGTTAATAGTTCTGCTAAGTAATAATTAGCCATGTGCTAATCAAAAAAAAATTCTAAAGAGGCACGAATTTGGAAAATACAAATAAAATCATAGAGATTGTTTGACAGGTTCATTCACAAACTTCCTTATGATGTCTATTATGTATTTCCAAGGTGGGAAGTGTGTGGTACTGTACTCCAGACTGTGTGGCCATAAAACCTCTATGATTTCCATTTTCTGACATCAGAATTTTATGAAATGTTTATTATTATTATTATTATTATTATTTTATAAATGCCTGTCCTACTATGCTACTCAATTCCCTATTGAAATTGTAATTAGCCTTGTTTCCCAGTTCTAAACGATTCCTATGGAATTTAAATGCATAATTTACCTCAATGGCTAAAGATCACATGAACCAGACGAGTTAGAAAGCTGTGCACTGGGGTCACTAATTGCTTCTACTATTTGTAGTTATAGTAGCTGATTATCAAAGGAGAACTGTGGTGTTTCTTGTGATGGGCTGTAATTCTCTTTGATTTACTGGCACTTTTTAGAAGGAAGAATGCACAGAGTAGTGAGACAGAATAGGTCATTAGATTAGAGAGCAGATTAGGTCATCAGATCCTGACTATTAGAAGAGAGGTAGATGTCATGAGCAGAATTCCCACGTATTCATCCAAAAAAAAAAAAGCTTGGAATTGCCTGCTGAGAAGAGAACAGTTTTAAGGAGTCTTGAGTAAGATATGACACTTGTCAAAGGAAAATAAGAAATTGTTCCAGATGGTTGAGATTGTGAGAAGGAGGTGGAGAGGTCAGATGAGGCAATGTCTGGAGTGAAAGAGAGAGAAGAGCAGTCGTGAAAATCCTTAGGGACTTGGACAGGTAACTAAAACTTCATCTGAATGACAATGAAACTCCCAGAAAGAAAGTCTAGTAAAAAGAAATGCTAAGTTCTTTATCATGCAAAGCCAACCTTTTAGAGATATCTTCACAACTGGCTACAAGGTGTTGGCAGGGTGCAAGTTTCCAGTAAAATGAAGTGTTTAAAAGGAGAAAGACCTAGGCCTGATATACATACCTGCACTGGTCACTTCCCCTCTTACCTGGCTATACCTCTCTGCTGCTGAATGTACTAACAGTTCCCTCTGCTGTCTACTAGCAAGATGCTGATAAAGCAGACAGCATGGCTTGATTCATTGTTAAGCACTTCACATAGCCTAGAAGAACACGACAAGGAGGCATAGGGTTTTCAGGAACCACTGTCTAGACTTAGACACATGCCAAGGTTTCA